GAAATACAAGGCAGCCCAGGGCAACATCTGTTTCCATTCCCAGCCAGGAGTGGAGCCAGTGGGGCTTAACTGGGGAAGATTTACCCGCCCCTGCCCCATCTCTCATCTCTCCCTCCTCACCCCTGCTCCCCTGCTGCCTTTGCTGAACACAGCAAGGAAGCCACAGTGGTAAGGCACCGCTCCAGGGTACCTCATGGGGCTGATGTGTTAGAGCTCCATCTTTCAGCTCTCAGCTTAGAGAGGTTAGAGGCTAGCAGGAGGTCACACAGCGATGTGCTTGGTCACAAGGCCTGAGTTCCCAACTGCCAGCTGCTAACATGTTTGAATGTCTCTTCACATCTGAAGGAAAGGGGCTGGGATGTGCCACATAAACTTGACACGGTAGCACACACCTGCAACCTCAGGAGATGGAGGCAGGAGGATCAGAAGTTCCAGGTCTAGTGAGATGGCTCCATTGGTAAAGGTGCTTTCTGCCAAGACTGATGGCCTGAGTCTACTCCATGAGACCCACATGGTGAACTCCAAACCCATGCCATGGTGCCCCTCTCCAAAATTAAGTAAGTGTCATTTTAAAGAAAGTTCAAAGGTCATCCTCAGCTATATAGGGAGTTTGAGTCCAGCCTGGGGCTGCATGAGATCCTTTCTCAAAAAGAACTGTTTCTAAAAGAAAAAAAAAAAAAAAAAGGATGTGATGTAGCTTTGGTTGAAACTGGTCTTTTATCAATGCACAGAGTTGGGGGATGTTGTTAGTGTATTTTTAATACAGGAAGGGCTCCCAGTGGCAAGCCAGCCTCGATCTGGCAAAACAATGGCTCTGTATGGTACCACCCAACCACTTGGTGACACCCAGCCAAGGGCTGTGGTCCCCTGCCTGCATCCTCTCTGCCCTCCCATGCTCCAGGCCCTTGAACTCTGGATCTGAGATCTTCTTGGCCTGTCTCCCCACAAGCCCAGCCCTCACGAAGCCTCCTGGGGCCTCTGGCTCCAGCCCCACATCTCAAGTGCCTTGATCTCCTGCAGTCACACAGCACAACAGTTCTAAGCACAGGCTCTGATCCCTGTCTGGTCCCTCACTCTGCCTCTCTGCTGGGTCCTCTTCCCAGTTCTTGACCCTCAACCTCCTCTGCAGAATGGAGACTGCAGAGTGGCTGCCTACCTGGCATTGTCACTACAGTAACTGTGAGACTAGTACTCTCCCTCTGAGACACAACCTAATTTTGTAGCTCTAGCTGCTGGTTAACTTGTAATCCTCCTGCCTCAGCCTCCCAGAGGCTGGGAAGAGACAGTTGTGTGCCACCATGCCTAGCTTTAAATGAGTGACTCTTCTTATCACACCAGGTGTTACCCTGAGATAAGAGGCTGGTCCTTGAGCAGAGTGGGGGCTGATCAAATGGGAGGCCATTGTCCAAGCCCTCAGAACAGGGCCTGACATTGGTATGTTTATCTGAACTGCGGGTTAATATCTGAGTCCTCTACTTGGTCTTAAGCCCCAGAGGCACAGAGGTGGGTGGAGCTTAGGACACTCTCCCTGGTGTTCTTGGTAGATAGTAGGGTAGATAGTCAAAGGCTTGAATGAGTGAATGAATAAGTGAATGAATGAACGAATGAACTCCACGCCTCCTATGCCCTTGTGTTTCTCTGTCTGAAAGTCATTCACACTGTAGTATGAGGTTATGAATCAGGGCTACTTTTGCCTGGTCTGATTGGCATGCTTGACACTTCTGTCTCCCTGGAAGACTGTGACCCTTAGTGATCTCTGTGTCCTCTACCTCCTGACCAGGAGTCCCCAAGCACAGCACTCTGTTTTCAAGGTGCAATTTTTCTCCTTTTTCTGAGAGAGGGAAGCCCTTGATAGATACAACCTCCAGGGCTTCCTGGAGAAAGCCTCACCCCCAAGTCTTCAGGGAGGTACACCAAAGGTCACAGGAGGACATCCCACCAGGCTGGGGTAAAGTTCAGGTTACCTGTGTCACATAAACTGGAAAGGCCTCTGCAGCTTGGGATATTCTGAGTGGTGGCAGGAAGCTGGGGAGGGGCTGGCCCTGATCTCATGCTGGGACCACTCCCTGCTGGAAGCTTCCAGTGGCTGTCATCCTGCAGCCACATCAAATCCCTGATCAAAAGAGGAACTGGCTCCCCAGGCAGATTTGCTCTGTTTGCTTCTAAGGCCTTTTTCCTTCCACACAATGCACTCCCAGCCCAGCATCTCTTCAAGTGCCTTCACTCCAGTGGTTCTGTCCCCTGAGCAGTCCCCTTCTTGTCCAGAAGCCTCTGCAGGGTCCTTTTGTATCATACTATTGTGAAGGCTTAACTGGGAGTCATAGTTCGGAGCCTCTGAATGCCACTGTGGGACTAGTGACTCAACCTAAGAGTATTTATTGAGCACCTAATGTATGTCTGGTCCTTCAGTACATTGTAGCTTAGTCATACCTTGGGGCTTCGGACTGCAGGCCTCGCTTTGGGGACTACCCATCACTAAATCTGGGGGACATGAAGAATCTTTGTGGTTGAGAGGATTCAGTTTACCTAACAGCCAGCACTTGCTGGGTACAGGACAGGTGCTAGGAGCAGCTGGAGGAGATTCAGACACGGTCTTGGTGAGCCCAGGTTCCAGGTGGGATCCCTACCTCCTCTCCCCAGTGTGACAAATGGCCACATGTTGAGCAGCTTGTGGCAACATGGTCCAGCTGCCTCACTGCACCAGTGCTCAGTTCTGGATGTTGGCAGTGGGTAGAGGGGGTCCCAAATCTTCTCTTTGCTCCCCTTTAGTTTTCAAATGCTTGGCCACTAGACACAGAGAGCTTGTTACTAGAACAATGACCCACTGCATTCAGTCTTGGAATTCAGAACAGTGGCCTGATGTGGAGGAGGGAGTCATGCAGGCGGGCTCACAGTGAGATCAAGGTTTGGAGCAGGCCTACGTGAGAAAAGGCCAGTGTTAGAGGTCGATGAGATGTCACAGAGTGACTGACTTTCCTAGTAGCTGTGTCTAACCATACAAGGAAATGGCCTGGGGGGTGGGGTGGGGGGTCAGACACAGTCGTGGTTCCGTTTGAGCCAGTGGAGCAGTTTTCAGTGTAATCACAATCAAATGTCAAGGAAATACTCACTTCCCACCAGTTCTCAAAGTGCTTGCTCTGGGGCCATTGTGGGAGCTGAGGTGAATGACTTGGCTGGTGAAATGCTTCCCTTGCAGGCAAAAGGACCTGAGTTTGATCCCCAGGACACATACAAAGAGGAGGGTGTGGTTGTGTGTGCTCATAACCCCAGCACTGAGGAAACCAAGACAGAAAGGTCCCTAGTGTTCACTGGCTGGCCAGCCCAGACATCTTGAAGAATTCTCAGCCAGTGAAGAACTATCTAAAAAACGAAGTGAATGGCCACTGCCTGAGGAAGGTAAGTGAGTTTGTCCTCAGGCCTACAAACACCACACAGGCACACACACACACACACACACACACACACACACACACACACACACGAAAGCATGTATGCACACATTGTGTTTGGCACATGGCATCTGCTTTATATTTAGGACTGTTCTCATTTGGAGCTGCCATGTGGCACATGTTTAGTGATCCTGTGACTGTGTAATGGATGGCACAGGTGAAGAAAAATGGGAAGGTGACCCCAGCTGCACCTGCATCCAGCACAGCAGGGTCAGCAGTATTCACCTACTGCCTTAGGCATCATCTCTGTGATATCAGAGTGACCAAAGGGGCCAAGAAGAAGAAGCAGAGGAAAAGCCCACCAGGTGGAGCTGGATATCTAGTTCAGAAGACAGAGGGCCAGCACTCCAATCAGTGTAGACGTGCCCAATAGCAGCGGTGGTGTGAAAGGCCCTATCAGGAGCCACACTGGGAAAGCAGGGGGTCCTGGCAGAGAGGGAGTGCTGTGATAGGGGCCTGCTGGGGGGAAAAGCCCTCCTGGTGGGGAACTAGGAGACCTGGCACAGCACAGACAGAGGAAGGTCAGGAGGGCATCCCAGAGCATCACCCCAGCTCAGGCAGAAGCCAGGCCACCCACAGAGAGACCCAGGAACTGGGCCAAGAGCCTGCTGTCCAAGAATGTAGTATAGGCACATGTGGAGAAGGGGAATGGGGGCTGGGAACCGCTTTAAGGGAGGTGCCGCTGGTGGTGGGTGGGAGGGTGCACCCATCTTCATGGGTGCCCATCCTGCTGGTGCCACCCTGCCTCACAGGATGCACCCCAGGGCTCTCACATAGTGGCAGACCTGAGGCGTGTGTGTGGTGTCCTGGGGCCCCCTACCCCCTGCAAGTGCCACTGGGGCTGCAGGGAGGTCTGACCTCTCTCTCTTTAGAGGAGCCCTCAGGAGGTCCGCTGGGGCTGGGGTCACACCTTCAGCCCACACCATTGCCTGCCTGCTGTCAGAGCAAACATGGAACCTCCTTCTACCTCTGTGCCCCCTTCTGAGAAGTGGACATCCAAACTGCATCTACCTTTGCATGCACAGACAGGCTGGTGGTGACGGGCTAGGTGCTGTGTGAATGGTTCAGCATCAGGACCCTCAGCGCAGGTGGATGAAGGCACTTTGCTGTGCTGTTCTACTCTGTCCCAGAGTCACATCACAGCAGGAACCCAGAGATAAGAGCATGATCTGCCTCCCGACACCAGGGCCACAGGCGCCTGTGGTCTTCTGCCCCCTCCCTGCAGCACCCCCAAAAGCATCTCCTGGGGCAGACAGTCACCAGCCGTACTGAGAGCAGCCCCAGCCAGCAACCCAGCCCAGCCCAGCCCAACCCAGCCCAGCCTGAGGCAGCAACAGCATGCTGGTTAGAGAGGAGTGGCAGGCCCCTCCCGGCCACGTCTCTGCTGGTACCCCCTCCTCCCTCTGCCCAGCCATTTGAGCTGAGCTGTCCAGCTTGCAGCAACCCTCATCACTGAAGCTACAGGGTGGGCTGAAAATAACCTGAGGACCAGCCATCACCCAGGGCGCAGGTGCTGGGGTGAGGACCCGGGATCCCTGGGGCACGGTGTGGAGCACCAAGCCTGAAGCAGGCAAAGCACTTCTGTCCCTCTCTCAGGCCCCACCCAGGCTAGCGTCCCTCCTCCCTGTTAACCCCTTTTGCCTCCTTTCCTGGGCCTGCGGAGGTCACTTGGTCACTCGTGCTGGAGGAAACCCTGTCACCAGCCTCGGGATGGGCCACTGCCGCAGGAAGGTCCTTTGGGCTCTGGGCTTCCTGCTGCTGCTGGGCGCCAGCTCTGCCCAGGGTACCTGGGAGGCGATGGTGCCGGCCAGGCTGGCGGAGAAGTCCCGCGTAAGTGCTGGAATGGGTGGAGGGGCCTCTGTGGGTGGGAGGTGGCCCAGGGGACACAGGTCCTCAGATGCTATGGTTTCTCGGCAGGGTGGGCGTCTCCTCTATCTGAGCTGCATCCGGTGGTGGGCAGAGGGGACTCAGTGCCCTCCAAGGACACTCTTCTGCCAGCAAGGGGGGCAAGAGACGTGTCTGCCCACGGGAGACTTTGCTTTTGAAGCTTAACTGAAGCATCCTTCTTCCTGGAAAGCAGAGTCTAGTGAGCATTTGGTGTGTCCCCCCACACTCCTCCCTCTCCCCACTCTCGTGTCTGAAGCCTGGCCAGGACGCCTTACTCAAGGAGGAACCACTTAGTGGAAAGTATGCTGACAGAGCTCTATATGGCAAACCTGTAGGTACAAGATGAGGAGACCTGCTCTCCCTTTGAGAGTGAAGCAGGCGGCCTGGGGACAAATGACAGCGATACCTGGGAAGGTTCTGAGAAGAAAGTCAATGAGAAGCAGACCCAGTGGGACCCTATGGCGGAGTCTAAGTCAGGGCTTGTGACTTTAGTCAAGTTGTTTGACCTCTCTGGATACCAGCAGTCTCCTCTGCAAAAGACAGGGTGATGTGTTCTTCTCAGTAAACGTGAACATTTTGTTGTTGTGTGTGTGTGACATGCACATATGTGTATTTACAGGTGTGTGCAAAGCATGTGCATGCACATACATGTATGTGCAAGTGCCTGTGGAGGCTGGCAGTTGGTGTCAGCTGTTTGCCCCGATCACTCCATTTTGTTTACTGAGGCAAGGTCTCCCACTGAACCCAGAGTTCCCTGGGTGGACTAGTCTAGCTGGTCAGCTGGGACTGAGCATCCTGACTGTCTCTCAAGTCCTTGGGTTACAAGTGCCTGCCACCCCTGCCAGCTTTTACATGCATTCTGGATATTGCAACTCCAGCCCCACACTTGCATGGCATCCACTGAGGCATCTCCCCAGCTCTGCTGTTTGGCAGGCACTGTCCTGGGTGGGGGATGTGTCTGCCAGCGGTCTGCCTAGGGTGTCTACACAGCAGTGTGGGCAGCAGAACATGAATGAGAGGAAGGAAGCCCTGGGGTGTGTTAGCTTTGGAGCACTAAGGACAGACAGATAATGAGGAAAGGGCTGGGGTGGGTGTGAGGTGGGCACCCTCCAAGGGAGCACAGATCAAGGGTATAGAGCACCTGCAGTGACATTTCACACACCTGGGCAGAAGTGGAACTGGTGCACAGAAAGGGCTCAGGACTCGGAATGGCTGGTGTGTCTGTCTCACAGGCTTCAAATCAAAGAATGGGAAAGTGCCATGCATGCCTCCTGGGGCTGGGGCTGCTGAACTCCCTGCCAGGTTCCTGCCATCAAGTCAGCACCTGGAACATTCTTGTGCATGACTTGAAAACAAGTGCAATGAGGACAAAAGAGTGAGTTTGTTTAGCCCTGCCCAGGAGCAACAGGAAGGGCTTCCTAGGGTTGGGGACATTCAACCTGGGGCTTTGAAGGGCAAATAGGAGTTTGCCAGATCAAGAAGCATGAAGCTGGGATATTAATCTGTACCTTGCCTGAGCTGGGCTGGCTGGATGTTCTTGGCAAGAGACAGGAAGTCGCAGGAGGGGAGTCAGAGAGTGAAGTAGTTGGAGATGAAGTTCATATGAGCATGTAACTGCCAAAGGCTTCCTGGAAGAGGTGGATACCCTGAAGGGGGCCTGAGGAAGGATTAAGAATTAGGAGGAGGGGTGGGGCGAGCATTCCTGGCAGCTCAGTATAAACTGAAGCTCAGAGGCCAGAGGCCATCTAGAGGAGGGTTGGGTGGAAGGAGGGCCAGAGGGAGGAGGTGAACTGTAAGGAAAAGGTCTTTTCTGCTTCCCCCAGGCCCAGCTCTTTGTGTCTTGTTCTGCCATTGGACACAATCCCTGGGCTTTGCATTATTGCCCCACACTGCTGCTCAGTCACAGGTGACAGAATGAAAGAAAGTGGGTGGAGAGAGCACACCTTGGGGGAGGCCAGGCTGTGACTCAGAGGCTAGGCTTAGAAATCCTCATGCATAGAGAGCTGTGCAGCCTTGGGCCGATTGCTGGCCCTCTCTGGGTCTCAAGCCATCCTTTAACCTGAAGATAACTAAGAGAGATGCAGCCCACATGTGCTTAGCAGTAAGATGTGACTGTAGCCTTACTCCCCTCACGCAGCTTGGTGCTGTGGGCTGGTCAGAGCTGGGGCCCCATCCATAGGTATTTGGAGCAGATGTAGCCGTAAGTGGAGCCACTTTCATTGAGGACAGTTAAATGTTAACTCCAGTATATCTACCATGGATAATGTATTATAGTCTGGTCTGGAATGCTCCCTAAAGACTCGCGTGTTGAAGGTCTGGTTCCTAACACGGTAGTGTTGAGAGAAGGGGGCTGTGAGAGGTGATTGACAGGTCAGAGCTCTGAGGACTGGATGGGTTAGTGGGTTAGTCTCCAAATGGGCATATTCCTGGATGGACAGTTAGGACACAAGGATGTCCTGAGAACTTTAGGGGGTGGGGCCTGGTGGAGGAAGTAGCTCACTGGGGTCACAAATTTGAAGGGATAATCAGTCCCTGCCCTTTCCTCTCTGTTGTCTCCCACTTCCTGGCTCTCTACTCCCGTTCTGCGATGATCTGCTTCTCAGGGCAGAGCATTCATAGTGAGACCAAGCGAACCTTTCCTTCTTCCAGTTGACTTACTCAGGGGTTTTATTACGGTGCCAGAATGCCATTAGCTCACATTCAGGAGGGGACACTCTGAAGGCTTGGTTGTTTTATCTTCCTCACTGCCCCTGAGACTTATATCTGTAAACTTGTGGGGGTTAATGAGGTGATACTGTTATTTCTCCTCTCCTCGTGGCCTGGAGTCAGCCCCGGCCACAGAGGGGAGATGGTTTTTAAACCCTGCCAGGCACAGCTGCCTACATCCCTTCCCTGGTTCCTCCCACAGTGGAGTGGCTTGTATCTGGGGACAGAGCAAGGCCTGTCCATTTCCTGAGTGACTCACAGTAGGGGACAGACAGGAACACTAATATAGTCTTCCCAAGTGAAGCCCTAAAGAAAACCTAGAGATGCCAGATGGTATTGGCTCATACCATTAATCCCAGCACTCAGGAGGCAGAGGCAGGTTGATTTCTAAGTTCGAGGCCAGCTGGTCTACAGAGTGAGTTCCCTAGGGTTGTCATCTTTCTGAGCCTCAGTTTCCATGTCTGCAGTGGGGAGTACAACAGCATGTGCCTTGTGGGTTCAGCAAAAGATCAAGTTGGGGCTGGATCGGCAACTCAAAGGTTAAGAGCACTGAGTACTCTCCCAGAGGCTCTGGCTTCAAGTCCCAGCACCCTAATGGTGGTTCACTACTGAATAACTCCAGTTCCAAGGGATCAGACACCCTCTTCTGGCCTTTGCAGGTACCAAGCCACTCTGTGGTTCACAGACAGACATGTAGGTAAAATACCCACACACATAAAAATAAAAACTAGAAAGACCAGACCATGGCTCTGTGCCTGCACCACTCTGTGTACGTACACACACTCATGCATATGTTTGTGTATGTTTGCCTATGTGTGTATGTTTGAATGTATGTATGTGCAGGGATGTATTTGTAGATACTATGGGTGTATGTATGCTTGCATACATGTATATACATATATATGCACATATGCATGTGTATGTTTAGAGTATATAGTGTGTGTGTATGTGCGCGTGTGTGCGTGCGTGTGTGCTTGCGTGTGTGTGTGTGTGTGTGTGTGTGTGTGTGTGTGTGTGTGAAACCTGGAGCCCATGACAGCTGGAACTGTGGGCAATGACCATCTTTGTCCCCTTCCCAGAGGCCCTTACCCCAGAACCTCCCAGACATGTGTCATCTCTGCCTCTCCTCCCCACCCCCAGACCCCCCTTCTGTGCTTGCTCTCAGAGTATCTTGACGTACTCTTCACTCTGTTGTTCTTATCAGAAAGATTTGTTTATCTTTTTACTAGCTGCTTTTGTAGAAGACAAAAGAAGCAGAGGGTTTGCTCTAGGGTGGGTCTCACTTGCTTAGTGTCAGGGGAGGGTTAGCCCATGTCTGGAACTGGGCCAAGTGAAGACAGGGGCAGTGTTTGGGGGTCCAGCCCAGAACTCTTCAGACCCAGCTGAGAGCCCAGAGCATATAGGCTCAGGCAGAAGATGTCCATGTTACCCAGAGCATAAAAGAAGGCATGGAGAGCTTTAGAGAGGAGTCATATGTGCAGTTGATGAGATACTATCCAAGGCTGTCTTTGGAGCTCCCCTCTGGGAAGGGCCCCATGGCCTGCTGTGGAAGCCCAGCATATCCTCACACTGAGCCCCAGCGCTGTGGGCCAGGGAGGTGCTTATTTTTAGATCTCTGACGTCCAAATTCCAGAGGAAGGGCAAGTGGGGCTCTGAAGAAAGTTGGCTTTCTTCCTCTACCATGCAAACCAGACCTGAAGACATTTTTATTGGTCTAGCTATGAAGTCTCTAGAACATTCCAAAGAAGGGCAATGTTCTCTTGTGGAATGAAGGGGTGGAGAATATAGGGGAGGTGTGGGGTGAGGGCAACCTTGCAGGTGGGGTGCCAGCTCCCCAGATGGAGGTCACTCCACAGTTCTCTCTGATGGGGCAGCACTGATATTTACCCTCATAAGAATCTGAGAGCCCACAGCTAGAGGGTTGAGGACAGTCCACGAGCCATCTTCCTCCACCCATTGCTCGTCTGTGTGGACCTCTATTTTTCCATGAGCCCTGCCCACAGCACATGTATTGCCTTTCATTCATATTGTTTAAAATGTTTGAGTTGAGTTAAACCTTGCATGACATAAGACAATTTTTATTTTTACTTTTAACTTTTTGAAACAGGATCTTATGTTGCCCAGGCTGGACTCAAACTCCCTATGTCACTGAGGATAACCTTAAACTTCTCATCTTCCTGTCTCCACCTCCTGAGTGCTGGGGTCGCAGGCATGTGCACCACATCCAATGTATGTAG